CCAAAGTCGTTAACTCGCAACCGAGGCTTCAATTTGGATAAAGCGAAAAAAAATATACTTTTCAACTTAGGTTTATTACCGATTATTACCAATTATTTTTCACTACTCATCGAAAGTATGGAGTTCATTCACTAACTAATTGATAGGTTTGTCAATGTTTAGTGATTATAAAAATTATATACAAAATAAGTCATGCAAACAATAAAGATAACTAATTTGCCTGTTTATGGATAAAACCTTAATGAATAATTATGGATAAAAAGTGTAGCAAAATAAATAGCTAATGTTATGACAAAAGAGTTGATGACTTCTCCATATCAAAAACGCTTCAAGGAATCAATGCTTATAGAGGAAATATGTAAGACCTGATTTCCTTTTATTCCTTAAAATTCTCAGTATCAACAATGTCTAAAGTAATCATAGCAGATGAAAAGTGTGATATCAAAAAATTATCCGGGAGTGTCGTTGGCCACAACGGTTTGGGTGTTGACATTGTGCTCATCACTGTACAATAAAGGTCCTGGGTTCGAATCCAGCAGCCCTGCATTCCAACTCGACATCCTTACCAATGGGCTTTTTTTCAAAAACATCGGCACCCCGAGCGTTCATATAACAAAAAAAAATACATTTAGAGACATTACACTGATCAATGTCTTAATTGATCAGTGTAGAACTGATTAAAGAAAAGGGAATTCAAATTACCACATATTTGGGTAGTAAAAACATACGTTGAAGGGGTGTAAAAAACTAAGAATCAAATTCCGATAACATAATAAACTAAGTGTTAAAAAAATAAAAAAATATGTGTGTGAAACTAATTGCACTAAAGTAAAATAAATAAAAATGGCCAGCTTGTAGAAGTTTAATTAGTGTGAATTTATATTGTTGCTTTTTTTTATCAAAGATGTTATTTTTGTGAGGAAGCGTGTGGTTGAAACCACACTAATGGCTCATTCCAAATGCCATCATAATACAGCTGCATTGTTGGCACTCTGACCTTCTCATGGTTAACTTGTGCGACGTTTTCTTTCTCCATCATCATAGTTTGGATTTTGTTCCATGGATCTTCAACATCATCTTCATCATCATCGTCATCATCATCATCATCAATACTATCGCAGTCATCATCATAGGTGTCGTCATTTTCGAAGTATGAAGTATGCCATTGAACTTTCATGCTGCTATCGTCATCCGATGAATCCTCACCTTCTGAGAGTATGCGAATCGTTTTCATTTTACCAACCCATTCATCGCCGTATTTTTGCTTTTCCTCGGCTTGGAGCTCTGCCTTCAACTTTTCGCTTAATGTGTTTGATGTGTCTGTTATTTCACTTGAGAACCGAATGGTTGGAAGTTTGTTATGTAAAACTTCCAACGTTTTTAAGGGGTCTGTTTTCTTTGTGGCTCGCTCTAAATATTTTGCAGCCCGTTCTTTCTCATTATGAAACAAGCCACTACAACAAAGAAAATTTGACAATTATAACTTCATCTTAAAATTAATAATACTTAGCTTGTACATGTCTAAATGTTGTATAAATACTCAAACTATGTCCTGAATGAAACTAGTGAATGTTTCTATTTAGGAAAATTAACTAATGGTCATAATTTGTTGGCATTATTACTAACTTCCTTTCCATTACTTTGGTTATTACCAAACATTTTGGTGTTTTGCCATTTCATCATCTTGAGTGTTGGATATTGAAATGCCAAAATGCATCCCACAGATCAAACCAGAGGGGATAAGCACTCCCAAATAATCAGTAACAGCTAATTTACATAAAAAAAGCTTACAATCCTTCAGATTACATGTAGAAAAGAGATTTAAAGAGAGAGATTTAAGAACCAATGATAGATTTGATATTCTAGACATAAATGACAATTAATTTATATTTTTCGTTTGGTCTACCTATCCTCACTGTTTTTATACAAAAGACAGGACAGGCAGACAAAATGTTCAGAAATGACCAAACTACAGATTCATCACCTCGCAGGCCCCTTGAGTTTTTTTCTGCTACACTTTTCTTTTTTTTCCATTATGGATCATTTTATTGTGATATTTTTTTGCCAATTTCAAAGGTGCAAGTCTTTTTCAAATATAATTCATCTGTTTTTGCAACCTTTTTGGTTAAGTTTTGATGAGTGACCTAGTCCAAAATGTGGTCTTTTTTTCTAAATACTTAATTATTAAAGTCTAAGAGACGGACACAAACTTAAACTCTTTAACAGGTACTTGGCAGCTGTACAACTGCGATTTTCCTTCCACTTACTATCAAGTAAGTTAATAATACACTGTTGAAATTGTAGGTGCAAGACGCAAGCTTGAAATTAATTCAATGGAATTTTTCAAAACCATCTTCCAGACAGCAAATTATAGTTATGTTACATAATTGAACACAAAGGGGATGGTGAACCTGAAATAATCAAGCACTACAACATGTTAAACTTGATGAGAGCTGCACCGAATATTATAGCAATAGAGCACAATTGTTTTAAAAAGCATCTTGTTAGAAAGCGAAACACCCAAGGTGACACCTAAAATTGTGTACACATCCAAAATCTATAAAATAAATAAAACCAGGAAAACAAAACAATCTGGCAATACCTTTGGTACCAGGACACAAGGGAATACCCACAAACTGGACAGAGACCAATAAGCCCAGAACCTAAATTGTTTAAAAAATTGTCATAGTTAACATTTTAGATTCACTAGTTTTAGTGGTCCGCTTGACCAATTAATATATTTCAATTAATTAAGGGTTGTTTTTTTGTTTGTTTTTTTAGTTGAGATAAAAAAGTTAGTGTCACGAGCGGGATTCGAACCCACGATCTTCGGCTAGATACACCGCTGCTCTACCACTTGAGCTATCGTGACCTCGATCCACTCGGACACTAACTTCCTATCTCAACCCCACGTTTTGAATTTTCCTTCCTTTTTGCCATTTTTCAAAAGAGATCGTGGGTTTGAATCCCGCTCGTGCTCAACTAAATAAAAAAAATAAAATAAAAATAAATAAATAAATAGTTACAATGGGTATAAAAAAAAACATTGTAAACTCATGATTAGAATAGAATATTCAAAATATTTACAACATTTTACACATATTTACATAGGAGTGCCAGTTTGTACTATAACCTCCTGCTTCAGAATTTTTAAAAAGAGTGTTTCAGCAAGACAAAACAAAAGTTAATTTAAGGGTATAAATTGTAAGAAAAACCCTGAGCTGTAGGCAAGGTTTAAACTAAAGTGTTCTTCACTCTCCTATGTATGTACACAAAGTCCAAGTCGTAGTCCTCAGCTTGTCTAACTAACTGATTACACTAGGTATTCAAAGAAATTTTTTTGTGAGGCATTTTACGTGGTGTACAATGTAATCCATCTCTGTGTAAATGTGCAAGTCTACTGTACTGGGGTGTAAGAGGGGGTGATGAGGTCACCAGCCGTAAAAACTTAATTTTGCATAATTTGTAGTGAGGCGATGTTTGATCATGACCTCAAAACCCATGAGGAGCAAGCAGACAAGAGCATTGATCAAACCACTACTTTGTAGAGAAGTTTGTTTACTATGAATGGTTTAGAGTCTCTGCACAGTAAGGGGAATATTGCAGTTTTGCTTTCATTTACTCTATCCCTTACATGGGCGGCAAAAGTTAGCTTACTGTCAAGTATTACCCCAAGGTACTTAACAGTACCAGATCAAAGTATTATCTGACCTCCGAAGGCAACATACGGATACAACACAGGCCTGCACTTTGTAAAGAGGATAGTTTTTGCTTTTGTGGGATTTATTTTAACCTTTCATTTGTTACAGAATCTGCCAATACAGCCTTTATAAGTCTGCTGGCTATTGTATCTACACTCCAGGACAAAGTTTAGATGGCAATGTCATCAGCATAAGTGAATTATTTTAATCAGGTATGGGGGAATCTATAGTCATTCAGCCTGCTTATCACTCCAGCCTGCCAAACGCCTTCCGGATGTCATCAAAACCTAGCCAGTGTGCTTTCATTGGTTAAACGCCCGTCTCTAGCTAATTAGGCAGTAGTGGAGAGTCCTAACTGTAGCCCAAACTGTTCACACAGGATAATCAGGTGGACATTGTCACTATCCAATGATGATTGTCCCTAGCTAACAGGGTATTCTTTCAAACGCAGAATGCTAAGCAGACTAATCAGCCTATAGCTGTTTGGATCACTGAGTAATTTGTCAGGCTGCAGAATCAGAAACACTTTAGAGGTTTTCCAGAGAATGAACAAGTAACCAAGTGTGAGAAATTTGTTGAACAGATTAGTGAGGAATACTGTGACTTTTAATGATAAACTTTTTAGCGAAATGTTTTGGATATTGTCTAGGCCTGGTGATTTCTTATTTTTTCTTGAATTGATCATTTCTTTAATTTCTTTACGAGGAGTGAGGCAACAGTCCAAAGTGTAATAATGGTAGTATTCTTGATTAGAGAGCCCTCACCAAATTTGGCAAATCCATTGATACAGTAGACAGGGTACTTAGAGGAGTGATATCTGAGTGAATGATTTGAGATTACTCCTAAACAACATGGGTATATTGCATATCAATGCATCAAGGAAAAAGAAACTGCCACCCGTATTATCTAAAAACGCCATGGTACCAAGAGTACTCTACTATTTTATAAGCTTAATTTGTTTTTAAAAAAAAATAAACATGGTTTAGAAATTATGTAATAAAAGCAGAACATTAATTATTAATAGCCAATGATCGATCATTACCTCCTTAATAATTATTAACGAATAATCAATATTAGAGATGGTCTCATACCATCTTTATACCATATTATTTAATTATGTGTGGTGATTAGTGACCGTTAATCGATATTTATTTAGAAATCGTGAGATGCGGTCTGGTGTGATGTAGGTTTGAGAAAAACATTTTCTTTATCGTGCCAACGTTTCGATCTTTATTGAGATCATCTTCAGGGCCTGGGATTTACAAACATTGTCTACATATAACAATTACATTNGAATTTTGCTTAGGTTTTTTGCAATTATAGATATGTTGCTTTACTCTCTTGTCCAGATATTGGGATGTAAGACCGATGTAAGTTGCCGGACAGTTTAAACAGTTGATCTTGTAGATTACGTCAGATTTATTTGTAATTGGTGTGGAATCTTTAATTTTGGAAAAAAGTGTTTGAATTGTTTTATAATTTTTGAAAGCTATTTTGAAGTTATCGGACAAGAGAAATGTGTTTAATTTATGTGATAGGCCTTGGATAAATGGTATGGAAATGTATGCTGGTTTGTTTGTATTCGATAGACTTAATATAGTATTATTAGTAATAGTGGATGGTATTAGTGTTGAGTTGTTTATTCTGTTAATTATGTGTTTAGGGTAGAAATTGTTATGAAGGATCTGTTTGTATATCTTTATGTTTTTGTGGTGGAAGGATTCATGGCTTAAGGTAATCATTCTGTGATGGCCATGTTTATTATTGTATGAAGAGGATGGTGAGATGTAAAGTTGAGGTAGCGATCTGTGTTTCTTGGTTTTTGATACCAATCTGTGATTAATGGTTGTTTTATTACGAGTGTATCTAAAAATGGTAGTTTTTTGTTGTTTTCGATTTCAAGTGTAAATTGTAGGCGTGAGTGAAAGCTATTAAATGTATCTAATGTAGTTTGAATTTGATCTGTGGGAACAGCTGTCAATATATCATCTGCGTATTTAGTGAGGAAGGGTAATGTGAATGGAAGTTGTGGTATGACCGTGTTTAGTAGATGTGTCATGATTATGTCTGCCAGTATCGGGCCTAGGTTGCTACCCATGGCTATACCAAATAGTTGTTTGTAAAATTGATTGTCGTATGTAAAAAATCCGTTAACACAGCAGTGTCGGATCATTAACAATTATTTAATTAAATGAACAAAAATAGAAAAAATCACATCATACTATGCTGAGAAATGTGGCAACACGCCACGTGGTCGTTGTGAACATATGGTTAATTGTTTTTTTTTTTTTTTATATTTCCGACTAATACCAGTATTTGGATTATATTATTATCATAGGATTATCATAATTAATTTAACAAAACTAAAGATAGGAGTGATAATTAAGACTGTTTTGGGATGGTTAGGTTATACGTGTAAGGGCTCGTAATGAATTTTAAAAAAATGTCGCTAACCAAGTTTAATTATTTACGGTGTTAAACAATAATAATTAAACAAACTATGGTCAAGTAGAGAGACAAATTTAAGGGATTGCACGACTTCGAACGAAAATATTCAGACCACGTGTTCAAATGAAGCCATCTTTCAAAGAACGATAAAGTTACATTGAAATTTACTCAAGAAAAGATATATAAATGATTTAAAAGCCAGAGAATACTCACTTCTCCACAATATGCATCTCTGTGTTTTATTAATTTTACAAATGTAATTTTGAAAACGTGAATTACTTAAGACGATGGCCGATATAGAAACAAAACGATTTTTGACCGTTACGACTTGCAATTGGTCTTATCAGGTATAACAAGCCATAAGAAAATAATTTCCCATAGTTTAACCATTGTTTCCCTTTTGCTCTTTACATATTATTTGTTGTTTAATTAATTATTATCGAACCGAATCAGTTTTCCACGTTCTAAATATCTTCTTTTTTTAATGGACGTCTTTAATTTTGACCAATTTTAAAACGAACGAATTTTGGGGGATGGGCCACGAAATAATTCAACGTTCTACTTTTTGAAAGAATTAAAAGGCTCGAAGAATTGAAAATTTTGTCCATTAACGTTGTCAAATGCCATAACAAAAGAATAAATAATTTATTCTCCATACTCCTCCATAATTTCTGAGTCTCAAGGTCCACTGGTCCGATTTGTAGACAAAAATATTGGTCTTTTACTACACATATTTGCCTTAAATGCTTCACTGTTTCATGGCCCTTAGAACGAAAATAATGGGAGCCAGGACAGAAAGGAATTTGGGATAACGAAAAAGGAGGCACACTTGTCAGAGGAGGATATGCAAGATCTCGTAAAGGTCGATTCATATCTACGAGCACAAGAGCGTGTCCATCACGTAGCGTGGCAGACACGGCACAGACACTAGTATTTATACCATGCGGTAATCACAGCAACAGAAACCTACATTCTACAGACCAACGAAATTTTTCGAAGAAGAGCTTGCTGCTGTAGCAATGTTATTAGAAGAAGAGAATGAAGAATATGCAGAAGTGGAACCAAAGAAAAGTATGTTTGCTGTTCATCCGATGAATGTGAAACGAAAAAAGGAGGGAGACTTTCACACACTTTTTAAGGAGCCTGAAGACGATGAAGAAAGATTTTAATCTTGTCTGTCGTCTATTCGTACTAACCGTATTGAACCACACAGGCAAGAAAAGACAACCGCAGACATGTGCCGGCACAAGCAAGACATTCTCGGCGACAATGCTGCCCGGTGCTGGTACGTGTCAACACTGACACGCTCCGCTCACGTTCGCTAAATATGAACGTTCCTATATGTTTTGTATGTAATGATTTTTTTGTGTCTGCCACGCTACGTGCTGGACACGCTCTGTGCTGGTAGATATGAATCGACCTTAAGCCCTCAACCTATACTTGGAATAACCAAAACAAATACAGAATCCTCCAACATAGAATGAATCCAAAAAAGAAAGAGGAGTGGATGGGGAGAAGGACACTGGACACAGGAATCTTATGTAAAATAACTATCCTATGCTAATATAAATTGTCACAAGACTGACAAACTCTCTGCTACAATTATATTTTATTTATTTGCCAATTAACAAAATTTACAATTTTACAGATATGGTATTTATACAATATTATATTATGAACAGTAGATTTGTATTATATAACAATGGCATTTACCCTAAAGCCTAATGGCTTGTGCTGGGTGAGATGAATAATTGTAAAACAATTGAAGAAGGCCAGACTCAGAGGAGTGCTGACCACAATAGATCTATTCATGTGGAGGTGCAGAAAGCCTTGTGGTCGCCTCTTTTATCCCTATCCTAATCCCCAGAGGAGTGGTAGGACTATTAACTGGTCAGTGGCATTTGAGAAAACATCTACATAATGTGGGCATATTCAGCGATGAACCCCTTTGCAAAATGATTTAGATCGATAGATAAAATGTTTATTTATTACATAATACAAAATGTAGATGAATACAATCCTTAACATTACTGCATGGGGGTGGACCCATTTGCACGAGTTGGCCCATTCTTAACTCTATTCTTACCAATTACAATTTATTTGATCCTACCCATAAACAATTAGTAAATAAATGGATGAATTTTTGTTTATTTATTTATTTTTTAACGAGGGTTTGGAACAGCAGAGGTCGTATCAACCCTTGGGGTGTCAGTGCTTTTAAAAAAAGCCCATTTGTAAGTATGTTGGGTTCAAATGCAGGACAGCTGGATTCAAACCCGGGACCTTTACCTTGATAATTGCCTTAACTGTTGCAGCCACTGCCCCCCCCCCAAAAAAAATAATAATTAAAAATCTATAATCGAATGATGAAACCACATTAAGAAAGAAAAACAGAAAGAGAAAGAAGGTAAAATAAAGAAAAGAAAAGAAGAGGGAAAAAAGAGATTCATGTTGTTTTCTAAAACTCAGGTGCCACGGACAAGCAAGGAAGCAAAACTTACTTCCTAGGGAAGCAAATTCCGTACTCTTACCCCTCAATTTTTAAGTATAAGAGCTAAAGTTTTAGAGTAGGATTGAAGGCTTGGGATATGATTGGTGCATTAGGATAAGGGACGAGGGAAAAAGTTGAAATATATTGGGAATATTTATTTGATTTAATTTTAAACATGTATATTATTTTATTTATTTATTTATTCACACATTATACAACCGCATTATACAATAAATTATTATATACATATAACTAAAATATATCATTAAAGATTTTCAAGAGATGTAGAAGTTTATGTGTTATGATCCAACTTCCTGTAAGCAATACTTGTGTTGAGAGTTGGTGTTGTGATGAATGCCATTACATGCAAACTAAGCAATACATTTTTTTTTTTTTTTTTTTTTTTTGTAAGTAAGTCAGGTTCGAATGCAGCGGCCCTGCATACGCATGTCAGAAATGAAGAAAGAGGCCAAATATCTAGGTGTGACACTAGACGAAACACGGGCATTTAACGAATACATTGACTCCGCTATCGAATTAGTGGCACAATCTATAATGGTGTGCAGAAGAATAGCAGGAAAAAATTGAGGATGCAGACCAGAAACACTGCTTTGGATGATGGTGAGACCTATTCTCACATATGGCACCATAGCCTGAGCCGATAAAGTCGGACAAATAACAAAATGAAGATAACACAAAAACACAGAGATTTGCATGCATAATGGGAGCAACGAGAACATTTCCCACATCAGTTATGGAGAAAGTATTGGGATTAATCATCCTCCACCACTTGATAATGAGGACAGCACAAAAAACTATTAGTATTACAAAAGAGAAACCTTCAATGGAATAAAACTAAAATTGAGAGATAGCAACACTCTAATGAAAGACCATCCGATATTCATCGCTCCAAGAGATGATGTGAACAGGATGTTTGGGTTTAATCAAAATTTCCAAATAAACTTAGGTACCAAAAAGAAAAGAGAGAAAAACACCTCCTTTAAGAAAGTCATATCTACTGGTACACAGATCTAAACTGCTCAAAAATGAATAGGGACATGGCCAATTTTATAGTATTTACTTTCCCCAGCATTTTTATTTTATTTTTCTTATAAATTGCATTAAAATTTATTAAAAATTACTGATTTTTTACTGAAGGAAAATTTAATTAAGGGATTTTGAAAAATAACAAAATAAAGGTTTTAATTCCACAATTTTGTTTATTGAAGACAATAATTTTTTTAGACAATTAATACTGTGTATAATGTCCTCTGAAAGCTAAAACCTCTGTGCACCTGTTAGGTATAATATTAATAAAGTTGTCCCTAATTTCATAAGGAATTTCACTCCATAGATGTCACAACACTGCACGCAGTTGTTGCATGTCAATGGCTGCATGTGCTCAATGGTATTGAGTCCAGACCTCAATGGGGAAGGACAAATGGAAAATTCCCAAGTTTTCTAAACATTGTTGTACCTCTGCTGCTATGAGGTCTGGCATTGTCATCCAGAAATTGAAAATCACTGCCAATGAGAGCCCTAGTTTGAGGGATGTATTCCTCGATGATTTCTTGGACATAACGTACTGTGGTGAGGTTGCCTTCAACAACATAGAGTCCTGTTCGTCCTCCAGTACCAATCCCAGCCCAGACCCCTGCACTGAAGGGAGCACGAACGCAAAGGGGGGCATTGTACGCATCCCCTGTTCTGAGTAGACACTTCGGCACCTACTATCACTGTACAGACAGAAACATGAGTCATCAGGAAACAGAACAGCATTCCAATTGTTGTTCTATTGTAGGAGCTCGCTGCATCATATTCTCCCGAGTTGCTGTTGGCGGGCTGCTGCTACAGGTCGTCTCAAAGGGGCATACAATGTGATGCCAATTTCCCGTAAACTATGCATCCACTACTAGGCCTCCTATTGGCACTTCCAGTCTCTACTAATCGGTCTAAAGCCCGGGTGACCACCCTCTGAGAAACGCCAACTGACTCTGCTATATCCACTTGCCAGTGACCTCAATGACTTATTCTCACAATAATATTGTGAACTTCTGCTTCAAGATGATGTCTTTCCATGGTTAAAGAGAATAAAACTGGATTAAAATGGAGATAAAGTGTTGTTTACAAAATGAATAATCTTCATGTTTACTATTCTTAAGTAAATCCGTTATTATAAATGAGGATTAATATTGAATTTTCTATTTTGTTTTATCCAACTAACAAGAATATATTGGTTAATATAATTAAAATTAATAGAAAAGAATAAATTATATATATCCCTGTTCATTTTTTGAGCAATTAGAATGCAAGAAGCCAGGTTGCGGTACAGCCATTTCGGGGAGACATTTCTCACACCAAAGGAGATAGAAGAGGCTCTAAGCAAAGTGCTTAGTTTTATAATGAAAAGCGCATTTTCCAGGGTATGGTTATAAGCTATAGGGTTCCACTTTATATCTGCTTAGGAAATGATTGTCATAATTCTGTATCAACCCTTCAACAACTATATAAAAAATATAAACAGTCCTTGTCTTTAATATATAACGATTAAATTTAAAACACGTATAACCTCGCCTATACACCCACAAAAACAAAAATAATTATATTATGTAACAAACCAAGTAATATTTAAATAAATATTAGTTAAAAAATGAAAGTAATGAGTAAGTAAATAGTAATGAGGGTAAACTTTTAAAGCTAGTTTTCTTTTTTTCTGGGCTAGAGGGTTAAAAAATAAATAAGAAACGGCAAAAACTGTTTGTGTATTGCCAATTAATATATTTGGATCATTCACCTCATCCTACAAAACGCCTTTTTATCACAAGGAAGAGGGAGGTGACGTCGCTCACTGTGGCTATGACCATGAGACTATTTGTTGCCTTTTTTCGCCAGGGGTCTACACAGAGGGGCAGTTAGCTTGTTTTATTTTTTTCGTTTATTTCCGACAGATACTACTTAGAACGGCCCAAAAGCATTATTGGTAATTACGTTAAATATAATTTTTGATCTATTTAATGTAGTATTATATTATAAATACAACCGCACGTGGCCGCTTCTAACGGTTATAAGGTATAGTTACGATACTCAATAAGGCCAACTCACACTCTACATTCACGCTAATAAATACATTCACTCGCACGCAAAAACCAACAGACGTTTGTTTCAAGTACAGTCCCTGTAATCAGGTGGCCTACTTGCTCTGTATGTATAGCCAAGCAAGACTAATGTGATCAATGGGGCTTGAACATTAACCTGAATTCACTAGTTTCGTGGTCCGCTTGACCAATTGATATCTTACAATTAATTAAGGTTTTCAGTTCAGATAAAAAAGTCAATGGCACAAGTGGGATTCGAACCCACGATCTTCGGCTTGATACGCCGCTGCTCTACCACTTGAGCTATCGTGACCTCGATCCACTCGGACACTAACTTCCCATCTCAAACACCTTTAGTTGGTTGAATGTGGTTGAGATGGGAAGTTAGTGTCCGAGTGGATCGAGGTCACGATAGCTCAAGTGGTAGAGCAGCGGCGTATCAAGCCGAAGATCGTGGGTTCGAATCCCGCTCGTGCCATTGACTTTTTTATTTCAACTGAAAACCTTAATTAATTGTAAGATATGAACCTGAATAAATACAAAAAATATGATTTTTAGAAAAGGCGGTAGACTGTAATCAAGTGAAAAATGGGAGTTTGGCGATAGGTGATTGAAGTGGTAAATTCATTCAAGTTCTTGGGTTCATTCCTACTCCTTGCCGATCCTTTAAAACTCACATTCAAGAGAGAGCATGCGGCGCTAAAATGGCACTTAATACTTTATGGTCATTCACAATTTCTCACAAGTTCAATCTTTTTAATGCAATCTCTTCAATCGCTTGTTATGCAGCTCGGGTTTGGGTGTTTGCTTGGTATAAGTTACAGCAATTATTGCTGTTTTTTATTTAAAAAGCTGTTCTCTCTGTCGACCATTGCCTTGAACTATATGCTTTATCTAGATACTGATTTAACATTGAAACTCCATTTTAAGTATGTACTGAGAACGATTACACTTCCAGCTTACAAATTTACTAGAGTTCGTGTGATTGAGGGGGTTAAAAAAAACTTTTGGTTTCAAAGTTGGTTGAATGCTTTTGAACTTTTGAAAAATACCATTGAGGCTTCAGTCCTTCATTAGATGATGCATCTCTCTGGAAAAACTGACAATCAAATTCAATATTAAAGATGAGAATGATACATCAGAAGAGTCTGTAGCGAATGCTAGAGAATGAAGTAGGTTCAACTTCTTCTAAAAACAGCTGGACGTTGAATGTCAATTATTTTCATTCCCTAATGAACCGGTGATTAACTTGACGGATTTGTGTTGGTTATTTAAAATTAGGGGTAAATTACTTTACCTAAATTTAACCCCATGGTTCGAAAGGAGTATATTGTGTAACTTAAGGGCAAGAGAGGATGTGGTTCATATTACGGCTATATGTCCAGTGTTAGCACATTTATAATGCTACACTTGGCTTGCTTCTGTTCTTTAACAGAAACAAAATTAAAAGAAGTGCTCAACACTGTAGACAGTTTGAATCTTGTAAAATTATGACCGCTTCACTTGGCATTACAGATATTTAGTTAATGAATTTAATTATTAATTTTCATCTTATGTTATATTATTGTTGATCATAATAAACATGCTTTTATTCTATATAAGTTTTTAGTTTAACTATTTTTCAATATTTGAATGCAATGTCAACTCGATACAATTTAATTTTTACTTAAACGTAAGATTAATAATTCTTGTTTGTGTATTTTTGTTTAGAGTATCTTTGTTTTCTTCTTTATTCATTTTATTAATTATTATTATTATAGAGATGGGAAGTTGGTGTCCGAGTGGATCGAAGTCATGATAGCTCAAGTGGAGCAGCGGCGTATTTAGTGAAAAGTCGTGGGTTCGAATCCCACTTGTGACACTGACTTTTTTATCTCAACCAAAACCTTAATTAATTGAAAATAATTTATTTGATCAAGTGGACCACGAAACCTAATAAAATTATTATTATAGCAAAACTATGTATATCACTCTCCAGCTGACGGATATCCAAGACTTATATGCTTTTGTAGAGCTTATGTTTTTACTATCTAAATATAGCCATATATGACAAAATTATGCTTGGCATTAGTGTTGAATGATGATAATCTTGAGACCTTCTCACCCCTTAAGGAGAGTCCAGGACTCTTGAGTGTAAAGCGCTTTTTTAAATAGAAACAAAAAGTAGATCTTTTGAGCATGTCACTTAGACAAATAGTAAGAAGTTTTAAGAACAAAATAGTGCACAAAAATTATGTCATATTACAATATATTTAGAATATAAATACAGAATATATATATTTATGAAAACTCACATTAAACAAAATAAAAAGCTATTGGGTTGTCCGGAAAATAATGCAGGATTTTGGTATTAAACAAAAAAAAAGAAACTAGTTACTTTAAAGCAATGTTCTTTAATCAAAATAATNAATCCTGTAAACGTAAACAGAATATTTTATATAGATTTTTTTTAATGAAAACTTAAAATCCTGCATTATTTTCCGGACAACCCAATAATTTCACATTGATCATTGATTGTCCGGCTAGGTTCTAGCAAGTTCTGTGAAAATCACAAAGTTATGTATAGGCAACATTAAATTAGGCGAACCCAAAAATAACAATTTTATAAAAAAATTATATATACTTATCTAACCACACTAATTGAACAAAAGTGATAACCTAATTTAATAGCCAAATAAATATTAATTTAATGATCCAATTAGACTAGAAAAAATAAAATGTCTTTATACAAAGAAGTGAAAGAAACCTCTTTCATAACATAATTAATTACCTGTGGCTAACAGATAACCATTTTCTTTTGAACTTATATTGTATTACTTTAAATTATTTTTATCAGCTTATTTTTAATTATATAATTACTCAATTAATTTACACAATTTTTTTGAAATGGAAAATTTGTGTCACAGGTACAAAAGTTAAGTTGTGTTCTTGATGCGATGATGGACCAAACATACGTAAAAATTAATTTCACTAATTTCGTGGTCCGCTTGTCCAATTAATACATTACAATTAATTAAGGTTTTTAGTTGAGATAAAAAAAGTTGAAAAATGGCAAAAAGGAAGGAACACTCAAAAGGTGGGTTTGAGATAGGAAGTTGGTGTCCGAGTGGATCGAGGTCACGATAGCTCAAGTGGTAGAGCAGTGGCGTATCTAGCCGAAGATCGTGGGTTCAAATCCCCCTATGACACAAATTTTTCATTTTGAAAAAATTGTGTATAATTAATTGAGTAATTATATATTTACTTAAAAAAATGAAATTAAATATAAGTTAGTTAAAAAATAGCAAAGATATGGACAAAATGGGTTAATGCACTTGTTTTCATCTAGAAATCCATTTTTATAAACACTATGCAGCTGTAGAACGAAGATTTGTTTAACAGCCTTTTATCCAACTCATCACTTTGATAAACCATTTGTCAAAACCCTTAGCGCCGTCCTCTGGAGTCAAAAGGATTTCTCCCCTTAGCACTTAATCTGTTTTCTATTGTACCGATCTGTTCCAATGGATTTTCATTTCATGAATGTAGCAAAGAACCTTGATAACATTCACTAGTTTTTCCTTGTCAAAGAAGTCAAGAAATGGTTGATGGATTAACAGTTGCTGAAAACAGTTCATTGACTCAGTCATCTTAGTGCAAATGCATGCATATCAATAAATAGGTGGCAATTAGGTAGGTTCATTTTGAACTTTGCAAATTTTGTAGACAAGTTTAGAATTTTTTTAAATTTTGACACTAATTATTACATTTAAAACAAAACAATTTTTTATACAGGTCTTAAACTTTTTAAAAATGGCAAGAAATGTTGAAATCAAAGCACGTCTGAAAAATCTAGACGTTCTTGAAAAAGTTGCACTGTTAGCAGGTAACGAAGGGAAAGTATTTCCACAAGTGGACCATTACTTTAATTCGCCTAATGGTAGGTTAAAGTTAAGATTCAGCGGGGTAAGAAAAACCTTTTTGTATTTAAATATTTGATTATCTATATGTTATATAATTAAGTTAGTTGAACAATCAAACACCCTTGTACTATTGTATTAGTGAATAATGTTGCCTTGATTTTTTAGGAATCATCTTCTGAATTGGTATTTTACAATAGAAGTGACAGTGTTGGGCCAAAACTGTCTAAATATAATAAAATATTTATTGATGATGGGAGTGCCATGTTGCAATTATTAACGAATGCGTTAGGCAAACGAGGAGTAGTTTCTAAAAAAAGACACCTGTTTATGATTGGTAACACCAGGGTCCACATTGATGATGTTGACAATTTGGGAAATTTTATTGAATTTGAGGTTACATTCTTCAAGGATTACATTTTGTGAAATTATATTCCATAGAATGTATGCTGTTAGATAATAAATAGCCCAATGTGTCTTTTTTCAGGTAATTTTGAAAGATGATCAAACAATGGACAGTGGAGTGCAAGTTGCTGAACAGCTTATGGAAGAACTAAATATTGAAAAGGAAAATTTAATTTCTTGTTCCTACATCGATCTTTGTACAAATTTGTAATACTGCAGTGTTTTATTAACGATAAAAATAAATGTTGTTGGTGGAATTAATTTATAAATCAAAATTAATGAACTTGATGGAATGGTGGTACTTTCATTTTGCTAAAATGTAGTCAGCTGTAATAACACACTTGGACGTACAGTGTTCCGTTTTTATTAAAGTGGTTGACCGAATCAACTGTTAATATAGTCTGGAAGGAAAACAATTGTTCAATGGCGAGGTATGTTGCAGTAAGACCTACTTGAATACAGTGTTGAAGTTTGCAACTTTAAAGTTGAAACATTGTTATATGCTGATGATGTGTTGTTCGTAGCTGACAATCGAGTAAGTTTAAAGAGGAACATAAACATAGCATATCATGTTCATACATAAAGAAAAGATACAGAGAAAGGTCATGAAAAACCTGTATTATGAGACATTCAATTACAGGAAGTGCCATCATTGCTCCTATGAAACCAGACTTGCTCTAGTTGGCCTGGATTCTCTGGTGAATAGAAGAGTTTTGGCTTCTGTTATATTTCTGTGGACGATCCTAAATAATTTTATTGACTCCCCAGCGATATTATCACCTGGACTGTTTGGACTGTAAATAAATAAAATATAAAAATAAAAATATATATTATGAGAAATGAAATTTGACCATTAACTTGCCAAATCTAAGGTGGTCATTTTTAGAAAGGGTGGCAGACTTGCCTCACTGACAGTTTTGTTACAAAGGGTTGAAATTGTAAATCACTACAAATATCTTGGGGTTACTTTTACACCTCACCTCTCCTTCCAGTATCATTTGAAGCAGGTGTCTTCTACAGCTAAGATGGAATTTAACAGAATTTGAGCTGGCTTAATGCTAAATTACAACACCCCACTGAAAGCTAAACTCAACATATTTAATACTATCTCTAAGTCTGTGCTGTTCTATGCATGCAAAATTTGGGAGTATTAACAGTATGAAGTAGTTGAGAAATTTCTGAAGATTTATATCAAAAAGCTTTTAGCCCTCCTCTCCTCAACCCTTTTATATTGAATTTAGAGACATCCACGGACCTATTGACAGTATCTACACTGAGGCCAAAGTTACTGTTCTTAAGATTATAAAACAACACATTTTGGTTCTCCCACTGGCATACTCTATTTTCTAAATAATCCACCCCCACATAACTTAAATGTTATTAATAGCTCTGAATGGAAACCTAATCTTGATTCTCTTCTTGCAAATCAGTGTACATCATCGAGAGGAGTCTATGAGGCTTGTTTTGACATTGTTTTTTGCTTTATAGAGATCTCAATCATAGTTTCCCACTGCAATTTAATGTCTGACTCTAATCTGCATCTGAATATGGGTGATTTGCGGTTGGTTGTTAAAATGAACTACTTTGGTTAAATTAGGGGCCTTGTTGAGTGTGATTTCTATGTAGCACTAAGGTCAGAGAAGTCGTGTACCATTTCTTGGCAGAATTTAAAATTTCAAAACAAATTTGTATGTTCCACCTAGGTGGCAATTTTCAATCTAGAGATGAACTAATTATTTAGCTAAACTCTGACCCAACCCCACATATAAAATATTACAGACATGCATGGTATTAAAGATATATTTACGTTTAAGAACTAAATATTTAAAGTTTAATGAGGTTTTTTTTTATTTGTTTTATTTTATTTTTTGGCTTTACTTTGATGTTCTTTAATTTTTCTCTTCTTTCACTTTTTGATTTGTTCTGCCCTTTTGATGCTTCATTTACCTCCAGCAGACAAAATTTTCCTTGCTGAACTGTGCTTATTTTATATTACTGTATTACAAGTACAGTACAATAGTAAGAAGTACTACAATTAATTAAGGTTTTTAGTTGAGATAAAAAAGTCAATGGCACGAGCGGGATTCGAACCCACCCATCAGCTGAGATGGGAAGTTAGTGTTCGAGTGGATCGAGGTCACGATAGCTCAAGTGGTAGAGCAGCGGCGTATCTAGCCGAAGATCGTGGGTTCGAATCCCGCTCGTACCATTGACTTTTTTATCTCAACTAAAAACCATTTTAATTGTAATATATTAATTGGTCAAGCGGACCACGAAATTAGTGAAAGTAAGAAGTACTATTATTATTATGAGCATTATTGAGTTTGTTGTTGTTTGCACTTCGTATAACCAATCCGGAGGAAATTTTGGATTGTAGTGGTAACATAACTGTGAGCTCAATAAAAATTAAAATAAGTTGATATTATGCTTATTGCTTCGTCTCCCCAGATAATACAATTTATGATAAATCCATTAGCCAAATATTGTAAAATGTGGAACCTTAAAATAAATATAGAGAAATCCATTTGAGATAATTGTTTTAAAAAATGGCGGTAAACATGCAAATTAGGAAAAGTATTTTGAAGGACAATATTGGTATTTGGGTCAATTTGTAGTTAAACTGGCGATGATAGAAATTTGGTACAATGAAAAGCCGTGATTTTGCGCTGCTTTTAGATTCAATGGTTATGATATGTTTCATACTTCATGTAGTTGCGGTTTATATATCACATATTTAGGTGATGTTGGGTCCCTCTAGCTTACTACTATAGTTTAAACTAATAAATTCCAAGTTTTTGGCTTTGGGTATACAGATCGCATGAAGGTAGGCTCAAAAATTTTCTTTCCAGTTTTCCAAAAAGAAAAAAAAAACTGGAACACCACTCAAATATCATTGTTATAGGTGATATGAATATAACTAAATCTTGGAATATAATGCGTGGAATAATACATCACCGTTGGTCGGAATCAAGATTACAAAATTAATGTATGTTCATTAGTGAAAATGTTGAGTATCCTTTCAAATAATGTAGCTGGTTAAAATCTAAAGTAAAAGACCTATATTTAGTAAAATTTTTAAAGAAATTTGTGTATTTTTTTATTTGAGACCTTTGTAACTGAAGAAAATAGAAGAAGAAAACTAGTTCTCTTAAGAAATATTTTGGGGAATATAATTTATAGTTTCTCCCAGCAATTAAAATTTTATTCTTTGGTAGATTCAGTGGATGTGAGCTTTTTGGTATTAAATCTTCCTTACCAAAAAATCTTATCTATTTTGTAAATATTGATGAAATTGATTTAATTTTGGTAAATATCCTTACATCTAAATTTCTAATTTATCCAGTGTACGTGAACTGTAATTTTTGGGACCATTTTTCTAAGTTTATTTAGATTTTTAAGCAAAATATATCATACAAATATATGATAATAGATGACTGTAATGTAAGGTTAGCATCTTTTCAGACTCTTCCCAATGAAATGTTTATTGATAACCATGCAGATGTTCTAGGAGGTTTAAAGACAGGGTCGTTGATAGAAGAGGTATTAATTTTAAGTTGATTATTCTAAATGGTAGATTTACAGGGGAGTTCACCAATGTGAGTAAGAAAGGTTGCTTTGTAATTGATATTTGCACAATCTCTCTGGCTTGTATTACTGCTATAGACAATTTTAATGTATTGCCAATAGATAGATAGAGAATGATGTTTATTTACAATAAAAAATATTCAGTACATAAAACATCCTAGACAATAGCCCACAGGCTGTCTGTCGAGTTGCCAAAAGAAAAACAGAATAATATTAATAATGTTAATAATATGAATACTAATACTAACAATACTAATACAAATAGTCATAATTGACCTTAGCCGTTAAAACGCCCTTAAAAATTAATAATAATAATAATAATAATAGTCATAATTTACACAATACTTTATTAATAATTGAAATTATTGATTAGGAACGCTCTATATTTTAAGGAGTACAAAACATAATTGTAGAGACTGTGCCAGTACTGCCCATTCAAAAATGAAATTACTTCATTTTTTTCTAAAAACAATTTGCCAAACCACCTAAGTCTGAATTCCTTCAATATAGGGCACACCGCCAAAAAAAGGAAGCCATCCTCATACACACCTAAATTACACAAAGCACAACGGTACGCTTCCTCATTTCTGTGGACCGAGTAATTAAGAGACAGCAACTGACCTCTTGCTTTCATTATCACACATCATATTCAAATTATAATTTTTATTTAAATAATGGTGATTTTCTCCTAATTCCAGATTCAGTTCTTTGTATAAACCATGGAAGACAGGCCGTTGTGCTCTTAATTTTAGTTTATTTTTAAAATCAGTTCTCAAAACATCTACCAAGCTTTCCACACTATTTTTATTTAAGTCGGAGTAACTCAAGGGGGTTAAACCGTGTTGTAGACAGAAATTGTCAAATTCTTTTGCCCAAAATATTTTCTTGTCTAGTATTTTCAAGGCCAAAATTCGAGGAAGTCTAGGAGAAGACAATGATAAAACTTTTTGGATGTATGTCAGATGCAGGCTTAATGTGTTGAAAAACAATGGGTCAATCCCTGTCTCTAAATATAAGACATAATCAGGAGTATCCTTTCTTAAGAAAAACAACCTTTTGACAAAATATTTATTCAATTTCTCCACACAGTCATATCATTTATAGCCCCAAACCTGAGCACCGTATAACATTACTGCCTTAGAAACAGAGTTAAATACATTATATTTTGCTGAAATGGGAACGTCACTATTCGACAAGAGAGACTTCCAAGTAGAATTAATACCAAATTTGGCTACATTTAATTTTTCTTTAAGATGTCTTTCCATAGCAAGCTGCGGTGTGAGATGTATACCCTGATATTTATAATGGTTCACAATCTCAATATTTTGTCCAGCATAGTTCCAAACCTCTTTTCTCCCAAGCCTACCCCCTCTGCGTAAGACCATTATTTTTGACTTGTTTAAGTTAAACAAATTCCATAACTGACAATACTCGTAAAGCTTATTTATCATTTTCTGCAGTGTACTGGGCTCTGTCGCTAATAATACAATGTCATCTGCATAGAGCAAACAACGAACATTCAACCCATCAATATGCAATCCACCGCCTACAAAATCACATAGATCATTGATATATAACGAAAATATAAGTGGAGATAGTAAACAACCTTGCTTTAGCCCTATGTTTGTCTTAAAGGTATTTGAAACTCCCTCCTTCATCCACACAGGAGATTCAGT